CTGGGTTTGAACCCGCCACCTCCAGCATATGGGGCCAGCACCCTACCCCTTTGAACCATAGGCACTGCCCTCAAGCAGTTCTCTTGTTTCAGCCTCCCACATAGCTGGGACTACAGGTACCTGCCACAAGGCCTGGCTGTTTTCAGAGATGAGATCTCACTCTAGCTTAGGCTGGTCCTGAACTTGTGAGCTCAGGCAATCCACTTGCCTCGGCCTCCCAGAGAGTTAGGATTACAGACATGAGCCCCTGCACCCAGCCAAAACTTAGCTTTTCCTTGCTCCCTCGCTCTGTTGCCATTCCAACAGAGTGTATAGAAATCATGAAAAAACTTAAGAGCATCTGCTTTGGAGATAAAAGAATGTTTTTGTTTTTTTTTTTTACTTACCCTTTTTCATTGTAGGCTTTTGACAATGTATTTTTGGTAGCTTACTTAGCTTCTGTATACTTAGCCTCAGCATTTTCTGTAAAAAGAACAGTAATAGCAGACACATGGTAGTCATTATGTGCACTTTATACATTGTAAGTCGATGAATCTTCATAATAGCCTTATGAGATTGTTACTAGAATTATTTCTTTGTTAACAATGAGGCAGAGGTTGGGTGACCCTTGAGACCACAAGGCCAGCTCCCCCAGGACCTCACAGCACAGTGCCTCTCAAGGGGTGGGGTGTTGGGGGAGATGTGTGTCTTTATGAAGACTGTTGTGTTTGTCTTTGCAGTATGAACGGTGCCTTAGCATTTGTTGACACTTCAGACTGCACAGTCATGAACATTGCAGAGCACTATATGGCCTCTGATGTCGAGTGGGATCCTACAGGGCGTTATGTTGTCACCTCTGTGTCCTGGTGGAGCCATAAGGTACGGGAACCCACATAGCTTTGGCTGCAGAATGAAACCAGGGAAGGCACACCCAAGCCTGGCATTGACCCACCTCATCAGAAAAAGCTCAGTTTTTGTGTTTTTAACTTTGAACTGGAAAGTTAAGATCATTGCTTTGTAGGAGTCAAGAGTTTGTTGAATACAAACCATATTCTGTATAGTGTCTTCCAATATTCTCCATACATACTCATTCCCTAACTGATGGTCTGGTTTGCTAAGGATGATTTTTTGTATTTAATAATTTTTTTTAATTGATGGAGATAGTGATGGCTGAAACCAGTTCATGCAAGCCTATGAAATAAAATTAGGGAAATTTTGTCTGGGCGCTGTGGGTTGTGCCTGTCATCCTAGCACTTTGGGAGGCTAAGGCAGGAGGATCACTTGGGCCTGGGAATTTGAGGCTGTAGTGAGCTACAATGATGTCATTGTACTCCAGTCTGAGCCACAGCAAGATCCTGTCTCAACAGTAACAAAAAATTAGGGTAGTTCTTTTTAATGAGATAATGAACTTTTAAGAATACCAGTTTCCCAAATATCACTGCAAACACTGTCTTGAGTAGAAATCTTTACATTCAGAGCAGGATATACTGACCATGGCGTATATCCAGATGTGTTCAGATGTTACTGCAGTGAGGCCTATCTTGGACACTTAATTAAGAAATCCTTTAAAATTGTTGACCACTCTTGTTTTTTGTTTTTTGTTTTTTTTTTGAGACAGTCACTTTGTTGCCCTCAGTAGAGTGCTGTGACATCACAGCTCACAGCAACCTCAAACTCTTTGGCTTAAGTGATTTCTCTTTCTTCAGCCTCCCAAGTAGCTGGGACTACAGGTGCCTGCCACAATGCCCAGCTATTTTTAGAGATGGGGTCTTGCTCTGGCTTAGGCTGGTCCTGAACTCATGAGCTCAGGTAGTCTGCCCGCCTCAGCCTCCCAGAGTGCTAGGATTATAAGTGTGAGCTACCATGCCTGGCCGACCACTCTGTTTTAAATACAAGCATTTAACTCTAAAGCTGCTGGTTGCAAAAAGGAGATATCAGAATATAAATTTTTTTTTTTTTTTTTTTTGAGACAGAGCCTCAAACTGAGCCCCTGGGTAGAGTGCCGTGGCCTCACTGCTCACAGCAACCTCCAACTCCTGGGCTCAAGTGAGTCTCCTGCCTCAGCCTCCCAAGTAGCTGGAACCACAGGCGCTCGCCACAATGCCTGGCTATTTTTTGGTTGCAGCCATTATTGTTCTTTGGCGGGCCCGGGCTGGATTCAAACCCGCCACCTTAGGTGTATGTGGCTGGTGCCTTAGCCACTTGAAACACAGGCACCGAGCCCAGAGTATAAATTAAAGCACTGCTTCCTTTAGTGGGAAAGTCTTGCCATGAAAAATCAGCTGAACTGAACAGTGTGTTTAGTATGTGGATAATTTATATTCTAGCACAAGTAACTTGTTACAGACCAGTAGTAAACAGGCATGTGCTTTGATGGGCACTGTTCTATACTGCTGTACAAATACACTGTACTCTATTTGTTACACATCATTTATATCTTTTGTTTTCTGTCTTCCTCTTGCTGAGATTTAAGCTTAGTGATGGCAGGGATCTTTTGTCTTGTTCACTAATGTATATCCCAAGTACTGAGAACACTGTTAGGCTAATGAAGTAGTTGGTCACTTGCTAGGGTAGGGTGACTGGCTCAGTGTTATCCCTGCTGTCTTCCAGGTGGACAATGCTTATTGGCTGTGGACTTTTCAAGGGCGCCTTCTGCAGAAGAATAACAAGGACCGCTTTTGCCAGCTGCTATGGCGACCTCGGCCCCCAACACTCCTGAGCCAGGAGCAGATCAAGGTCTGGCATCCTCACTGGGTTCAGGGGACATGGGAGCGATTTAAGAAAACATTAACGTTTAAGAAAAATAGTTATTTTTTTCTTTTATTATTAGGGTGGTAATGAGTAGGGAATAGAAATGACATTTATGGGGGGCCCTTCGCAGAGATGCAAGAACTAAATAGAAAAGAATAGTTGTGAGATAGTAAACTTAAAATTTCAAGTGGTTTAAGGAAGTTTTGTTTGACCTGGAGGGACAGATAAAAAGATGCCAGGGATTGTTAGAAACTCCTGGTGGGATTAGAAGAGACTTGTCTGGGATTTACATAATTATAGTGAAATAGGCTGATGGTATTAGGTCAAAGCTAAGAGGAGAGTTAAATCCCAAGAAATCGAGTCTGTCTCAGGGAAGTAGAACTTAGGGAAGACAGCACGTTTGAGCACTCCTGGGGAGCTGTATTCTATTAATCACTGAGGATGTCATTTCATGTTGGTGACTTTGAAGATTGCTTTTGTGGTTCTTGCTTTGAATGTTAAATCCTGAGTGACTGGTCTTTTGTTTCAGCAAATTAAAAAGGATCTGAAGAAGTACTCTAAGATCTTTGAACAGAAGGATCGTTTGAGCCAATCCAAAGCCTCAAAGGTAAGCTTTGTTCCCAGAACCTAGAAAAATGCTAAAGGCAGCTATATTCCTTGTTCTGACACAGGAAGACCAGCATTGGGGCTGGTCAAGGAAAGGCATGCTGTATGTGCAGGGAGAAGGCAGGGGAGTTGCTTCTGCCCTGAAGATGCTGACTCCGTCTGTTGGAAGCCAGGGCAAACCAGCAGCAGGGACTGTGGGCTGTACCTGGACAGACTAGAGCCCTGTTGGCAGTTACTTCCTAGGTACAGAGATTGAAGGGGCAACATCAGGAAGGAAGATGAGAACTAGGAAGTCATTCTGCCATTCCTGGCTGAGAGTAGTTGTCTAAATGACATCATTCTGATACCATCGATTTAGGTGTAGGTCACTTGTGATAAAATGCTTTCACTCTGGTTAAATAAAAATTTGATGGTGAGTTAAGTGTTAGCTCTGTAACTTCCCCCCACCTTTATACTTAGGAATTGGTGGAGAGAAGGCGAACCATGATGGAGGATTTCCGAAAATACCGAAAAATGGCCCAAGAACTCTATATGGAGCAGAAAAATGAACGTCTGGAATTAAGAGGAGGTAACGACCAAGAACTGAGTGGTCCCCTCCACCCACAGGCTCTTACATAGCAGAGAGCCTTGCTGCTCCCTGCTCAACAATGTGGCTAATCCCATTCTCTGTTCCTGCAGGGGTGGACACAGATGAGCTGGACAGCAATGTGGATGATTGGGAAGAGGAAACCATTGAATTCTTCGTCACTGAAGAGATCATTCCTCTTGGGAACCAGGAGTGATCTGGAGCACTGTGTAAGCCCTCCCCCAACACACACACACACACATACACAGGGGCTGCCAACTCTTGTTAGTTCTTTAAGTGCTGCTTTTGTTACCCCATAAATTAAAAAATACCTTGTTTAAGGTATGAGTGAAGATCCAACTTCAGGTACTCAGAGCTAGTAAAGTCTTGAATGAAATGTGAAGGGCTAAATGCATTCCCAGCCTCAGGCATGAGCAGAACATGTCCTCCTAACATGAGGGACATGGCACCTTTTAGGCAGCATTGGGTTATAGGTGAGCCATGACCAGGGCAGGTCCCTGTGGTGGTGGGAAGGGGAGGGAAGCAGGTACCTGGCTGTCTGTAGACGTCTTCACTGGCAGGTAGCCCCTGGGTCCACCAGAGAGGAATGTTGGCATGAGCAGCCAGGACTTTTGAGTACTAGGCAGTTGCTGGTCAATTCTGAGAGAAGGGCCTTGAGTGTCAGATGAAGTGTGGCAAGAGAGCACAGCAGTCTGTGAAGACTTGGGGCTGCCTCAGTAACAGGCTGGGCCTATCCAGCCTCTTAGGATGGTGTTATTTATGGTTGCCACACCTGCTCATCCAGGGCAAGAAAACAGTGGTGATTGCTTGTACCATGTTTCACTCATTAAGTCAGGACAAAGAGTAAATGGTGGTTCCTTTGTTGCAGTGTCACCCTATTGTGCTGGAACTGAGGTCATCCTCTTACAGAAAGCCTACACAACTCCTGAATTTTACCTGTGCTTTCTCTTGCTTGGGACTGTGAATGCACCTGGGATTCTTCCATCTCAACACATTTTTGTGCCTTTAAACCCCTGGTGTCCACAGTGGGGGAAGTTTTAAGGCACTGCTTTCACTTTTTTCTCGTTTGGGGTTTTTTTAATCAGTACCACCAGTGTTTGCTACTTATACTCTTATGCAGTGCAACTAGCAGGTACCTTTTGCTCCTGCAGACAGTGGTATTTCCAAGGTGTTCCATCCACAGTTGAGTGGTGTTTCCGTTCAAGAACTCTTGGCTGTCCTGTTCATGGGCTAGTGCTGGGTGTGTCCTGGAGACCAGCAGGGAAGCAGTACCCTGCTGTGTCCCACTGTGCTCAGAAGGTGCCACAGCACCTCTTACCCCCACTATGCAGGTTGTGTCAGGTTCTCTCAACAGGTTGAATGTGGAAATAAAAGCAAACCTATATGAAAAGCTGTCTTTCTCCTCTCTTTGAATGTAGATGGTGATCTTGATTTGGTAGCTGTTTCCCATCCCTTCCTTGCCACTCCAGGGCTCCCCAGACACCATCACATTCAGTCAACACATGCACACAGCTTAGTGGGGAGGGCAAAGAGAGCAGTTGCCATTTCTGCTCAGCTGTGTATTACAGTCAGTCCAGAACATTATGCTTTTTTTTTCTTTGAAAAAATGCTTGCCACATTACCTGATGAGAACCCTTTAGACTTCTCCTTGGAGTGAGACAAATTGGAATATTTTTATTAAGAATTATTGGGTTAGCCATTATTACTTGCTTCTATTTGAATATTTATCTTCCTTTTTTCCCTCTTGAGAAGGGAGCAAACAAACCGGTATGATTTCAGTTCATTTTTGTCTGTAGTATCCAGCTACCCCTCAGTGCCTTGTGAGCTGTGGTCTCATCTACCTCTCTCTTTTGCTCATGGAACCTGAAGCTGAGTTTAAAAGCAGAGAAGTACAGGCGCCACACTCAGTTCACAGCCAGGGGCACTCACAGACCTACAGCAGCATTTGAGATGGGAGGAGAAACTGCAGTTATGGGGAGAGGACAATGGTAAGATGCTGGCCTCAGAAAAATTGGATTGGCTGCTGTTGAGAGTAATTATTGGCCTGGGAATTCCATGTTGACCCATCTGGAGTCTTGAGGCTCTCAGAGGCTTGCCCTTGCAAAAGCCTCTGGTTGTCTCAGTTTCCCTAGGTGTGGGGAAGGCACTTTGTGCTTTTCATATGAGCCTTACCTTTCTCTGATCTGTGATCTTTCTAAAATTCTGATTGTCACAGTCCTACCATTAGGCTTATCCTGTGCCCATTAGCGTTCACTTTAATAGCAGGTCTTACTGACTCATGTTCTTTAAAGTAGTGTGCCAAGAAACAGTTTTTCTAATTTCATGGATGTAAGAAAAAGCCACACATCTCTATTATATTAACAGATGCTTAACTGAGCTTTCAAAAAGTTAACTTTGCTGCTGTCAGCTAGGTTGAGCCTCGGCACTCTAGCCTGGAGCAACAGAGTGAGACTCTGTCTCAAAAAAAAAAAATTAACTTTTCCTTGTTTTAACTTACTAGCTGTAATCATTTCACATAATTTGTAAATAAAGAATTTCGGAAAGAGTAATCGTTTCACATAATTTGTAAATAAAGAATTTCAGAAAAACTTGTGTTTGTTTTAATCTCCCCTATGTGGAACTGGATTTCCCAGGGCTGACCTTTTGATGAGGGTGGTCCTGAGTGTTTGGCACCTTGCTACTTTCAGGCTGTTGGGGTGGGATGGACTAGGGTGTGGCCCTGCTGCAGACCTTGTTTCAGTGGCATCTACCAAAGGCTGTGGCAGTATTGTGGAGTGTTGGTGCCCACAGACCCATAATGCCAATAAGTCTCTTGTCAGTTGTGGGAGCCTCGTAGTCCCTCGGGGTAGTGGGGAAGGATGCACCTTTGCCTTGCCCCATTTGCATGATGGCGTTCCTGGAGCCCAGCGTGGATCCTAGCATTGAGAAAAAGGCACAGTGTTGGACAAGCAGACAGGAGAGTTCATGGTACCAAACCTCTTGCCTGGCAGCAGTGGCCCTTGGGGCCCTTTCAGAATCATATTAGAATCATAAATATGACTTGTGAGATTTGAGTGTCATAGATCCAGGCTTTGTGTGATTTCCTTCAAAGTGCAGGACGATTTTGTTTTCAGCATCAATTCTGGCTCTTATCAGGTTCACAGCTGTACACTGGTTGGCTGCACAGCCTGGCAGGTGCGGTTTCCCTGGGCTGTATGAGTTCACAGTGCACCGACTTCCCTAGGGGTTGCAGTGGAAAAGTTGAGTATAGCATTTAACCAGTAAATAGGCCTGGTAGTTAAGCAGAGCCAGGCCTTGGGTGCAGCACAGACTGATGGCAAGGGAAAAGGGGCACAATCACTCAGTCACATTCTAATAATCAGAAATGGTCATATTTAAGTTACTTTAAAATGTCAAGTTTGGGGAAAAGGCATTTGGAGCTGAAGTGATTATGTGAAGCTTTAGCTGTTGGCATCTGTCTCTTGTGGGAAACCTCCAAAGCCACCCTGGCCTGCTCTGTGAGGGTCCCCTGGGGTGGGTGACTGCTCCTGGGCTTAAGGTGAAGGAGGGACCCCGCCCTGCAAGGAGGAGGTGCAGCTCCTCCATCTGCCATGTAGTGCAGGTTTCAAGTGGGCTCCCCTGAAGGTCAGGTGAGGTTGGTAGAAGGCCCAGGTTGCCATGGAATTAGGTGAGTATACGTGCTGGGTGCCTAGTACTGTCCTCATGCACATGATCAGGAAGGTTGCCTACTGCCTGGGGCTCAAGGCTCCCTGGAGACCTAGCTGATGTCACCTGGGCGGGGTGAAGCTGAGCATTGAACAGTCTCTGCTAGGATAGCAAGCACCTGTCCCCCTGTTGTCCCATGGCCTCCCACAAGGCTGCTGGCCCCTCCCCAGCTCGGGGCAGCCCAACTTTGAGGGAGCTGGAGCCCAAGGACCAGCAGCTCATGGTGAGTACCCTCCTTGTAACCCCAATTGCTGTGCCTGATGCTGCTGCTTCTCTGTCCTCAGCACCCCCTCGGCTTAGCTCTGTTGCCCTCTTTGGTGCTAGGACATCTCTCTGTCCCCCACTTCCTCCCCCAGGGCCCAGCTGACTCCTGTCCCATGGGGCTGTGAGCCTCATGTTCCTTGGCCCATACCAGGCAGAGTCCAGACCCATTTGATAGTTGGGTGAGCCAAGCCTTAGCAGGTTAGGGAGAGCTATAGCCACATTCTGCAGAGGAAGAGACAGACACATTGATTGCAGAGAGGGCATGGACAGGCCAAGCCCATGGATTTCCCCTTGAGGAACAATTTCTTAGAAAACCAGAAATTTCCCTCAGCAGCTGTATGACCTTAGGCATGTTGCTCTGCCTCTCTGCACCTGAGCCTCCCCATCTGTTCAGGGTAGGCAGCCACGTCCCCCTCTCACAGGGTCACTGCCAGACATGAGCAACTTGCAGTAAGTGTAAGACCCAGGTTGGAGGGGTGCATAGACTGTATTCCCCTGAGAGCAGAAAGACCCTTTGGGGGGCAAAGGGAGGAAGGAAAGTTTGGGCTGGGGGCCTGTGTTTGAAGAAGAGGAGCAACCTCAGAGGACCCCTGGGAATACAACTGCTCAAGTGACCTCTCCACAGGTAGCACTTCGGATCCGCCCACTCAGTGATGCAGAGCTCGAGGAAGGAGCCACCATCATTGCCCACAAAGTGGGGGCTCAGGTGAGGCTGGGGGCATAGTTGGCACGCCCAGGACAGGGGCAGAGCTTGCCCCTCAGTGCAGGATCCTCTGTATTACTCTGACTCACTCAGCAGGTGTCAACATCCAGGGCCAGGCTCCATGCCAGGGACCTGCCCCATGGAGCTCGCTTCTGAGTCAGGGCTGGGGGCAGATGGCTGTCAGGGGATTTCAGAACTACCAGGGAAGATAAAGCTGAGCCCAGAAGGTGGGAGAAGTCTGGCGGAGTACAGCAGGCTTGGTCCAAGCAGGAGTGGGTGAGGGAGGAGGGAAGTGGTTTAGCACTGGGACCCCTATGTGCATGATGGGGTAGGTGAGGTAGGACACTCACATGCTGCTATGCTGCCAGGCTCAGAAGCTGAGCTGTTGACACGATTTAGAGACTTTTGTCCCCTTGGTTATCACTTTCAAGGATAAATGCCCAATTTGGGGTAAAATTAGATTTTGTCAAATGGCTGGGTTTTCCCCATTCACCATTGGACAGGCAACTTCCATGAGGAATGAAGTGACGTCCTGAGACACTTGAGCACTCAAGGGCAGGGGACCCGGGATGCTTGCAGGAGGTTGCTGGTTGGAGCTGCCTGCGGTGGCATCTCAGGAATGACCCTGGCAGGAGGATGTAATAGATGTAATGTCTGAGGTGTGCAAACATCTGAGGGGAGCTGGCAAAGATGGGGGGGGGGGCGGTCAGTGCTGAGTTCACAGAGAAAGGAGCAAATGTGATAAGACAGTTGTGAAAAGGAAGACAAAAAATTTGCAGGAAATAAGATACCTTTGTTGCAGAGAGAATTTATGTCTTGCTGTGAAAGATCAGGATGTGATCTAAGTAGACTAGTGATAGGGCTTTGCTCTGGGTGCAGGGCCTGGGAGCCAAATCCTTGCCTTGCACAGAGGCCTATGGGCAGGTCGGGAAAGTGCAACCCAAGTGTGGGGCAGGGCATGTGGCTTCAGTGAGTTTTGCAGCTGTCTCCAGGCTTTCAACAACACATCTGTGTCACTGGCAATAATGGAAGCCATAGGGGAGAACCTTTTAAAAATAAACTTAAAGGCAGATAATAGTAATTTGCTGGAATTGATAATGACTCTTCAAAATGCTGTGCATGGTGCCTGAAATCTTGGGCCCTCTGCCCGTTGTGGGGGCTGCCTGGCCTCCACCAGTGGGTTCCTGATAATGTGTGATCCACGTGTCGATCAGATGGCCACCAGGTCTTACCTTCTGGTGTCTGCCTAGCCACACTCCTGAGAACTCTTGTCACCTTGGTAGGTAATTAGCTGGTCCCAGTTGTGGGCAGTCTCATAGGCAGCATTGCAGACATTGTTGCTGAGGTCTGGTCTTCTGGAATCACTTTGGAGCTTGGTCCTCAGGCTTTTGGTAGCAGGAGAAGCATCAAGAACAGGAACAAGCTACCTGCCAGCCAAGGCTGCCCAGCAACTCCTGAAGTTCAAGATGCCTTTCTCTTCAGAGTGAGGATTCCCCCCAGTGCCCTAGGTTTGGGGATTGAATGACAGTAGGGAAATAGGACACTTCTGAGTTTCATGAGGGAAGGGCTTGGGTTGGGAACTGAATCCTGAAACAAGTGCAGGAAACTGACATCATGGAAACAGAAACTGTCTTAGCAGGTTGGAGATTTAGACTTACCGACACCACAGCCCTTTTGAAATCTCGAGGAATGAGGGAATTGTAAACATGCTCAGCAGAGGAGAGCATTCAAACGATGTGGCTATGTGTGTGTGTCTGATCTTCTAACCACATCTTCACGTGGTATCTCCCTGGCTATGTGGGCAGGAATGTCTCAGGGCTGTTCTTAAAAATAAAAACATTCTAACTTTTGACCTCAGTATAGTGATCAAAGTCAACAAATTCATATTGATCCAATATTACCTAATCTACAGATGTAGCCAAATTTTGCTGATTTTTCTTAATAATATTCTTTGTAACAAAAGAAAAGAAAACATTTTTTTGTCCACAATCCAACACAGCTGGTGTGTTTTGCATACTCAGGGCTCAGCTCTGGGCATGTTGTTGTATTTACCCCTCCAGCCACCTCTGCAGTGAGTTCATTATTACCCCGGGTTTATAGATAAGAAAACTGAGACCCAGAGAGTTCAAGTGACTTGCCCAAGGCCTCCTTGCTTGGTGAGCCCTGAAGCCAGAATGGGAAACTAGGCTGCAGGGCTATAGCCTGGCCTGACCTTGCAGTGGGGACTGCATGGAAGGGGCAGTACACACCCTTCTGTCTTTGGAAGGAGAGAAGCAGGAAGGAGACCCTGAGCAGGGTGGCCAGATGGCCAGCTTGATGCTGCAAGTTTGCAGAGACCCTTCCTATCCCTTGCCCTATCACTTCTTCCAGGAGCGACACTGTTTCTACTGCAGTGCCCTGGGCAGTTGCTGACTCTGAGGCATCAGGTGTGGTTGTCCCCTCAGGCTATGATGGTCATAGTGCTGGGCTGCTGTCCTTGGGCAGTGGTATGGCCAAGTCAATGTCCGTCTGATGTGAGTGTAAGAGTATCAGGCTCAAACCCCCCACAGGCCTGGGGGAGTTGGCGTTGTGCTCTAAAGGCACAGTAGCGGGAGAACGGCTCCTTGGAAAGCAAGAAGAGGTTGCTGCAGGTGGGCAAGTGGAGTGCCCCAACACCTTCTTGGCTGGAGCACAGAGGTCTGCAGTGCTTCTTGGCCTGGAACCAGGCCCCTGGATGTAGTGGAGGGCAGAGGCCAGCCCTGCGGGCCTTTGGGGCACAGACCCTGACTGGCTCTGACTGGCTGGTCCCTTGCCTTCTCATTGCCCCAAGATGGTGGTGCTCATGGACCCTGGTGAGGACCCTGAGGACACACTGCGTACCCACCGGTCCCGGGAGCGGGCCTTCATCTTTGACACTGTTTTCGACCAGCATGCGTCTCAGGTAGCCTCCCCCTCCAGCCCCCACTGTCCCCTCCTGTTCTGGGTTCCCCTTGAGGGGACTTTGTAGTGAGGTGGTATTGTCCCTGTCTTTTTGGGAGATTCTCCCCAGGAATATGGGGGCTGTGCACGCAAAGCCCATCCCAGGGCAGGTACTTCCTGATACAGTGGCTGCTCAGTGCAGGCCCAGCCTGGGGGCTCCCTTGGCCTTTCATCCAACAGAGCATGGCCCTGGCACACTGTGGGGGTAGAACATGGCCCTCATCCCAGCAAGGGAGAGATAACAGCAGGTGGAGGAACAGTACGTTTGTGAGTGGATGCTGCAGTGAGTGCTGTCATGGGTCTCATGACGGCCCATGGTGGGGGCTATGTAGTGGCCAGTTGGTGCATCTGAGGAGGGATGAGCCAGCTGCAGTGAGAAGAAAGGGTGGGGCCTGGTGGAGGTATCATCACACTCATTTCATAGAGGTGGGACTTGAGCTTCAGAGGTCACACATGAGACCCAGAGCTGGGTATTAGAACACATGGCCTTTTCTTGGCAGCAGGAATGTCTCCCTTGACTCAGGACTCAGAACAGACTTGCTGAGCAATGGCAGCTCCAGGTTCTGTTGGAGCAAACAGGCTTCTTTTACTGTCAAGTTTGTGATGGCATTGACAGTAAAAGGGACTTGTCATCAACATTTACTGAGCAGCTACTACAGGCCAAGTGCTCTGCTCAAGGGCTTGACATACCAGGATTTGAAAATGAAGTTCACAATCTCATCCTAGAAAAAGTGGACCAGACAAGATGGCTCACACCTGTGATCCTAGCACTCTGCAAGACTGAGGTGGGTGGATTGCCTGAGCTCACAGGTTCAAGACCAGAGCCTAGTGCCTGTAGTCCCAGCTACTTGGGAGGCTGAGGCAAGAAAATCACTATGCCCAAGAGTTTGAAGTTGCTGTGAGCTGTGATGCCAAGGCACTCTACCAAGGGTGACAAAGTGAGACTCTGTCTCAAAAAAAAGAAAAAGAAAAAAGAAAAAGTGCTATATACATCATTGCCGAATATCACTATGGTCACCTTTGAAGGTCCTCCCCTTGAGAAGCTATGCACCAATGCCAGCACCTAGTCCACCCTTCAAAGGAATTTTGGAATTTTTTCTGAAATGGCTATTAGGGCTATCATCATATGAGGCCTGACAATGAAGTCTGAGAACTCATCCTAGAAAAAATGCTACATACCTCATTGCTGAATGTCACTACAGTCACCAGATGACCTAGGAGTATACTTTAAAGGTGACCATAGTGATATTCAGCAATGATGTATGTAGCACTTTTTCTAGGATGAGTTTGCCAACTTAACTGTCAGCCCTCATACATGGCTTTATGACCCTCACAGCAACCCTATGAAAGAAGATAACAGCAGCCCCATTTTCCAGATGAGGAAACTGAGGCTTAAGGAGGTCACACAGCTAGTGAGTTGCAGAACCAAGATTCAGACTGTGAAAGTCCAAAGCCACAGGGAAGAAGAACTGGCGTTGGAGTCTGTCCAGCACAGGGGTCAGGTGTTGCCTCTCCCTTAGACAAGTGGTATGACCACCAGGGCTATCAGGACACTTGAATGAGATGAAGAGTAGGGCAGTGGGATTTATTTCCCACAAAGAGGAGTCACACTGCTCTTCTCAGACTCCCAACACTGTGGCCGGCCATCTTCCAGGCCTTTGTGTTCTTTTTGGCTCCTCTCAGCTCTTAAAGCAGTCCTGGGAGAGACTCCCATGTGTTCCGTGCCCAATGTGTGTCAGAGTTCACGGGATATCTTACACCTTCTTTAATATTCTCTTGAAACCCCCCTGTGAAATGAGCATTGCTTCACCTGTGAGGCTTGGTACAGGTAAGGTGGCACCCTTAAAGCTGCACACCTGCGGGACAGGTATTGGGAGCAAGGAATGGCCAATGCCCGTGTTCTTTCTAGACTTTCGACTTTCCCCTCGTGGGTAGGTCCTTGCACGTGGCCAGAAGGAGTGGAATCTATGTAGACACCAAACACCTATTGTCTCCAAACTGCTGGGTCCCTGGCTCTCCATGTGACTGTCCTCTGTCTGTCCACAGGAAGATGTGTATTCTGCCACCATCCAGCATTTAGTAGAAGGCGTCATTTCTGGATACAATGCAACGGTGTTTGCCTATGGCCCCTCAGGTACCATTGAGGACAGTATCTGGGAATGAATGGGGCTGGTGGCAGAACTCTTCTTAATAGCACAAAGCACCTCCTATGTGTTGGGTTCCCTGCAGCCTGTAATCCTAGCACTTGGAAGGCCGAGGCAGGTGGATTGCTGGAACTCATGGGTTTGAGACTAGCTTGAGCAAGAGCGAGACATCATCTCTAAAAAAAAAAAATAGCCGGGCTTTGTGGCCAGCGCCTGTAGTCCTAGCTACTTGGGAGGCTTAGGCAAGAGAATTGCTTGAGCCCAAGAGTTAGAGGTTGCTGTGAGCTATGACACTATAGCACTCTAGTGAGGGTGACAAAGTGAGACTCCATCTCAAAAAAAAAAAAGAGAGAGAGAGAAAAAACTGAGTCTTGGAGAGGAAGAGGAAGTAACTTCCTTAAGACTATTAGGAATGATGCTGGAATTCAGCCCAAGCTTACGTTTTGCTGCCCCAGGAACCCAGGGATTTCTTTTCTGTTAGTATAAGTTGGGTTTGACAAATGTTTGCAAAGCTAAGTACCTCTCTTATCCCTGGAAACTAGAGTCACAGAGGGCCAGAGCTGGATGGGCCCAGCCTTGAACCTACTCCCATGCAAAGGGGGAAACTGAGGCCCTGAGGAGCACCTTGCTCAAAGTCATAGCTTGTTTATGTTTCATTTATTCGTTCAACGTTAGTGAGCGCTTACTACGTGCCAGGCTTTAGGGAAGGGAGAATACTCTGGTCCTCGTGTATGTGGGGCCAAAAAGTGAGGAGGAAAGTGAGGCACTCCCTTAAAAAGTGGAATGTATTAATTCTTTTATTATAAAAAAATATATAAATGTCCAAAAAGTTTGGGGGAAAAAAAGGCAAAAACCTCTTGTAGTTTTTCTGCTCTAATTCTGTCTGGATTTTTGCTTATATCCTCGTTTTCTCCTCCGTGCCTAGATTTTCTCTCACAGAGTAGTCAGCAGAATGTTCAGAAAAAAAAAATTTTTTTTGAGACAGTCTCACTATGTCACTTTGGGTAGAGTGCTGTGGCATCATAGCTCATAGAAACCTCAAACTCTTGGGCTCAAGCGATTCTCTTGCCTTAGCCTCCCGAGTAGCTGGGACCATAAGCACCTGTCACAACTCTTGGCTAGTTTTTCTATTTTTAGTAGAGACAGGTGTCCCTCTTGCTCAGGTTGGTCTTAAAGTCCTGAGCTCAATCTACCTGCTTCAGCCCCCTAGAGTGCTAAGATTACAGGTGTTGGGAACTATCATGCCCAGCCTAGAAAGCTTCTTAAAATTTGTTTTCAAAACAGAAAATGAGCCTGTCTGTGTGGGCAATAAAAGTAGCAGGTGTGAGCAGCTGCCACTGTGTTTATCTGGTCTTTTAATGACCAGCACTTCCAAGTGAGGCATCTGAGCCCACATCAAGAGCTCACTACCCGACCCTGACAAGTGTCTCTGCCCCCTCCCAGGTGCTGGGAAGACCCACACCATGCTGGGCATGGATGCAGAGCCCGGTATCTACCTGCAGACCCTCACTGACCTCTTCCAGGTCATCGAGGAGACCCGCGACAACATGGACTGCAGCGTGTCCATGTCTTATCTCGAGGTGAGCCTGCTGCCTGCCTCAGTTGCCTTGTCTGCTAAATAAGCATGATTGTGCCAGACCAAATGCAGCTGTGTGAGGTCCTCAGCACTGGATATTATCCCCCAAGTGCCAGGTGGCCTTGTGGAAAGCCTCAGCTCTGGGGGTTGAGATCTCTCTAGAACAGTATTTTTTGACCTTTTTTTTTTTTTTATCTCACAGCACACTTGAACCTATAGTTAAACTTCTACACACATTTATGTTGATCCAAAAAAAAGTTTAAAAAATATATACTTACTGTGCTTTGAATTTCTTTTGAAAATAATTTAATTAATGATCTTTAAAATTTTTCATGGCACACAGGTTGAAAATCACTATTCTGGGCTCAGCACCCATAGTATAATGGTTAGCGCGCCAGCCACATAAACTGGGGGTTGGCGGGTTCAAACCCGGCCCAGGCCTGCCAAACAATAATGACAATTACAAGAAAAAAAATAGCCGGGTATTGTGGCAGGAGCCTGTAGTCCCAGCTACTTGGGAGGCAGAGGCAAGAGTATTGCTTAAGCTTGAGTTTGAGGTTGCTGTGAGCTGTGACGCTACAGCACTCTACCAAGGGCAACATAGTGAGACTCTGTCTCAAAAAAAAAAGAAAGAAAGAAAAGAAAATCACTACTCTGGAGGCTCAAAGCCCCGAAGGTATATAAGTCCTCATAGTTCTGCTTTGTGACCACCTATCTGTTCCACCACAGATTTATAATGAAGTGATCCGGGACCTCCTGAACCCATCGTCGGGGTTCCTGGAACTGAGGGAAGATTCTCAGGGCAGCATCCAAATTGCAGGCATCACTGAGGTATCCACCTCAAATGCGCAAGAGGTGAGAGTCATAGGGGCTTACAGAGGAAGACGTGGCTGAGCCATAGCAGCCCCAGACACACATACATCCTTGTTCAAGTTCACTGAGCAGAGAAAAACTTGCAGCCTCAAAGTTTTTTTCCACTCATGGACTTGTTCTAAGGGAATGGCAAACACCTGCCCCACATCTCAGCCTCCTGCTCTGTGCTCAGGGCAGGCCTCACTAGTGGATCACACATTCTTTCCTCTGCCTCCAAGTGCAGGCCTGGGACCCTTCTAGCACAGCACCCCAGCAATCACACCAGCTGGAGTTGGCTCAGGTCTGAAGTCCACTTCCCATCACTGATATGAATTTTTACTCCATTGACAAGGGCAGCAGGGGTTCACTGTAAACATTTCAGCCTATCTTTTCTATCTACCCCTGGTCTCCGAGCCAGCTATGCCCCACAGGGTAGGCCTCCTGAAATAATATGGTTGGGCTCCTGTCTGCTCACAAGAATGTCAGGGGCTAGGTGCCTAATCTGCAGCCCTTAATGGCCATGTTCTCCTGCCACGCTGTTGCCACAACCCACATGCCCTTACTAACGTCTCTCATGGGCTTGGGGAGGGGGCATCCTTCTTGCCTATTCTTTAATAACAACCACTGTACCAGTCTTCTCTCCATTCAAACTCTGTAGTCCTAGCACAAGTGTGGTACACAGCAGGTGCTAAGCAAAGGCTCACTGGCTTGACTTTCACAGCTGCCCACACAGTCATGTGGACTTCAGGCCACCCTCCCACTCTGGCAAATTGAAACAACTGCCTGGAATTCAGTGTTGAAAAGAGTCCTGGCTGCTGCCTGCCCTGTGAGGAAGAGATGGGGACTCTCATTGGTGATGTCTGCCATGGGTACAGGCAGGAGGGGGCAGGGCAAGTGTCAGGTATCTGTCATTCCTGCTTCACTTCATGGCACAAACCAGAGGCTGCTTCCACCTGAAGAGTTTCTGCCACAGCATCCGGCAGCGGCTCTGGGCAGCCCCTGCCCTCCTCTTGCCTGGTGTTTCTGGAGGGCACATGAGGACACTCAGGTGGCCATTGACTGCCCGCCTACTCCTGCCTCTGTTCTCAGATCATGCAGCTCCTCACCAAAGGCAACCGCCAGCGCACACAGGAGCCCACAGCCACCAACAAGACATCGTCCCGTTCCCACGCTGTGCTGCAGGTCACTGTGCACCAGCGGAGCCGCAGCATAGACCTGGTGGAGGAAGTGCGAGTTGGGAGGCTCTTCATGGTGGACCTGGCGGGCTCAGAGAGGGCGTCCCAGGTTCCTGTCCTTCTGACATGCTGCCCACCCTTTCCAACTTCATGATAATTACGCTGTGCCTGGTAGCCCTCGGGGCGTGCACAAGACCTTATTCGTCCTCAGCAGCCTTGGCCCAGAGGTGTTCCCTGGGTGCTTGTTGACGGCTTCCTGCATGGCAGGCTCTAGGACCCCCAGCCTTGCCCTCAGAGCCAGGGCATCCTGGGGAGACAGACAACTAAGTAGAATATTTGGCATGGAGTGCATTTGCTTTGATATTCCAAGTCTACACAGGATTTGTGGGCTGCAGGGCCGAGCCTGAAAAGGTCATTACAAGTTTGGAGGGTGCTGAGAACCACATTTCACTTGGGAGGTGCTATGTGCAGAGCTTGGCTGTTGGGAGGAGCAGTGGCACAGCTGTAAGCCCCCTCATGGTTGCTGCTGGGGGACAGAGACCACCTCACCTGCTTCCTCACTCCCACACATGCCAGCCCACCTGCCCTTTACCACACCTGTCCCTGGGCGGGGATGGGGGTGGGTGCAGGAGGCTCATCCATTGTTGCCCTATGGTCTGAGCCTTCCTCAAGGGAGGAACCCAGCCCAGGCCTAGGACAGAGAAGGGACTAGATGAAGGCGGTTATCTACAAGTGACATTTTCACACCCTTCTGATGCCCCAGGCACTCAGCATTCACAGTTACATAACCTCCCTGCTGGTGTTTATGACCCGTGGGCTGTGATGTGACTCCTTTTGCACAGAGATCTGAACTGTGGGGAAAGCCGGCCCCAGATATGCCTTTCTTGGGGATAGTTGATCTGTCTTTGTATCTTTGGGTTATGAATGACCACTGAGTGGCTTTACTCATTCATCCACTCACTGCCTTGTGTCCAGCCAGCTGGTCCAGGGCCAGACTATCCTAAAACCTAGAACATCACTAGAGAACTTGCAGTGCAGTGAGACCTACAGATCAGGCTACTATTGAAGAGACAGCTTGTCACTCACTGATCCCTAGAGGAAGGGGCAGCAGGGTCTGTCAGGAGTTAGGGTGGGAAAGTTCCAGGGGTTCTTCCTAGGTGAAACACACTCTCTCTCATTTTAATTATAAAACTGAGTTGTTTTGCATAGACTCCCCTCATCTTTTGTCTGCTTTGTCCTCATCTAATAGTGGTACCATTCTGACAGTGTCCATAGTTCCACGTCACCCTCTTAATGGTTATATGCACTGCTCCCTGGGAGCCCAGGGCCAGGTGGGATGGGGTCACTTCACCCTCTGGGCCTCAGTCCTCTCCCTGGGTGAAGGAGGGCAGGTGGAAGACTAAATCCCCCAGTCTGGCCTCTCCTTGCACAGACCCAGAACCGAGGCAAAAGGATGAAGGAGGGTGCGCACATCAACCGCTCCCTGCTGGCCCTGGGCAACTGCATCACCGCACTCAGCGAGAGGGGCGGCAGCAGGGCGCAGTATGTCAACTTCCGGGACAGCAAGCTCACGCGCTTGCTGAAGGTAGGTGCTGCAGGCCAGGGAGGGTGAGAGCAGCCGCAGGGGTAGGATTAGGGTTAGGGTTAAGGGCCCTGCATCTCTCAGGAGACACTAGCCAGGAGAGAGGCCCAGACCTGGCTCTGAGGGCCCTTCCAGGAGCTGCCAAAGCCCAGAAAACACCATAGAAGCCATCTCACCGCCTGACTCCTCCCTTCATCCCATTGAATATGGTCCAGCCTGTCTTTACATACCCCTGGTGACCAGGAGCTCAGTGCCTATCCACAACTTCCTGTCCTATCATGGATGGTTGTGACCGTGAGAAAAATGCCCCTTTATACTGAGCTGGATGGTGGCACTTCCATTTTACAGCAAAGTAGGGTATGACTCCACACAGGCAAAGCAGTAAATAAATGTTCCTAGAAATATATCTCTTTTGGTCCAATCTGCTTCCATCAGAGCTGAAGTCAGATGGGTGTGCCTGGAATGGGTCCCACTTCATCCTGAGGGTCACTGCCCTGAGGACTGATCCCAGCAACTTGGGCAGGTGGGGGCACGTAGTTCCTGTCACCTAAACCTGGTAGTTTCCATCTGAGCAGGACGCCCTGGGAGGGAACAGCCGCACGGTGATGATTGCACATATCAGCCCAGCCAACACCTGCTTCGAGGAGTCGCGGACCACCCTGCTGTATGCCTACAGGGCCAAGAACATCAAGACTCGGGTGAGCCATATGGTCACCTAGACTTGCCGAGGCATCCCTCAGTCACTTACTCACTCATTCAATCATTCACTCACGTATTCATTTGCTACTCATTCATTTGTTCACTCATCATTCACTCGCTCTCTCCTGGGCAGGCATATGGGGGAGGCTGCTGAGCAGACTCTGAAGGTGGATGGCTTAGGTTTCCCTCCCGTGCTGCTATTCCTATCTGGGTGACCTTGGGTAAATTTATTAACACTCCTGTGCTCCACTTTCATCACCTCTGAAGTGGGGAGGGTGAAAATAATAGCAAACCCTTACGTAGCTCTTTCTATGACCAAAATCTGCATTAGTTTCTTGTGGCTGCAGTAACAAGTCACTACAAACTGGGAGACTTAAAACAACAGAAAACTGTTCTCTCACAGGCAAGGAGTCTGAGATCAAGGCATCAGCAGGGCCATGTGCTCCCTTTGAGGGGGTCTGGAGGATCCTCCAGGGTCTCCTTTAGGCAGTTCCTGTCATTCCTGGCTGGTGGCTGGTCATCACTCCAGTGTCTGCCTCTATCTTCACAGGCCTTCCTTCTTCTCTTTGTTCTTCCCTTCTCTTATATCTAGGGACACTTGACATTAGATTTAGGGCCCACCTGCTCTAAGATGATATTTCAAGGGCTTTAATTTAATTACAGCTGCAAAGACTCTTTTTCTAAATAAGGTCCTACTCACAGATTCTGGGATCTAGGATGTGCACATACCTATGTGCCAGGCATGTGTGCCAGGTGCTCGGGGGGCATGTGACTAGAATACCCCGAAGTGCCCATCTGAGGGGATGGGATTAGCTGACTGGGGTATACCTCCCATGGAACACTCGGCAACTGTTACGGCCTCCAAGATGCTTCACTGGGGGGAGAATAGCAAGGGCAAGATAATAGCTCTGCTCTGACGTCTTTGTAGAAACACTCAAAGCCTACACACAACCCACGAAAACAACCCATATATCTCTCTACATATACATAGGTAGTGGGCCTCCCCTATCCATGTATTTAACAGACGTCAGATCAGAAATATTAAAAATAAATAAGTAACACTACAACAATGAAAATATACAAATAAAAAGGCAATACAGTATAACGTAACTATTTACATAGCATTTACATTGTATTAGATACTATAAACAATCTAGCAATGAACTATAGTATATAGGAGAATGTGTAGAGATTATGTGCAAATACTGTGCAGTTTTATATTAGGGGCTTGAGATTCCATGGATTTTGTTATCCACGATGGGGGTCTTGGAACCCGTCTCCTATGGATACCGAGAGACACCTGTATGTACAAAACTATACAGAAAAAAAGACCTGGAAGGGTATACATCAAAATGATAGCAGTGGTTACTAGTGGGAGGTGTTTTTCTATTTTTTTTTTTTT